CACAGAGTGTTGGTTATTACACCTGACAAGGGTTACGTTCTGTTGCCAATCCTATACTTTCATTAGATGTCTAGGTTAAATAGTGTGTTGTCTTTAGCATATGTTCATTGTTATTTTATATGCAAATTGAAAATAAATATTGAATATAAAGTGTAATTTTGCCACACAAATGCATACTAGTATTCCATTGTTGGGACTAAGTGACAGTGGTGTTGTCACGGTGTTATCATGAAACCGTAAATTGCATTGCTAAAGTCGAGAAACAGCACAAACTCAACTATAAGATAACCCTGAACAACCAAATTTATATATTTATAATTTCAGGAGAGTCTCAACAACTAGCCCAAAGTGCTTTTTATTGAGAATTTTCAGCCTTTGTTTTCACAGTGAAGGTTGCCAAGTGGTGGAAATGCCCGGATGTCCGCCCCGGGTATTTATGAAAAATATTTGTTTAGAAGATTCATCACCAGAAGCATGGAGGTGTAAACAGACCTCCATGCCAGAAGCAACGTTTTATGCTGGATTCGAACTCGCAATTTCAACTTGAGCTCAAAAGCATCGTTCTTTAATCTTCTAGCAATTCGAGAGAGCAATCGTTTTTCGGTCCTCGTTGCATTCAAAATGTGGTCATCATATGCGAAATGTAACGTCATAGTTGAATGGTATTCCCTGAACCCAGACTGACAATTGGTCAACTGGTTATTCTGTTTTAAATAATCACAAATTTGAGAGTTTTGACCCTTTCAATCAATTTAAAAACTATTGGTAAATATGCATCCAGTGATAGTTGTTTACTTCAGTTTTAATTCCAGATTTATACACAGGAACTACTTTTGCTGATGTTCATTCATTTGCTACTTCCCTACTAGAGAATGTCATATCATTATATACATTGAGGAAGGTGCTATTTTATTTTTTGACCTTTACAAACGGCGACTACTTCTACCAAGACCCGTGGCTATATTCACGGAGTTAAGATTTGATAACAGAGGCAATGGTTTTATTAAAGTGAAATACAGAGTCTGACTTTGACAGTGGAATATTCGGCCTACCTGGTAAAACTTCTGGGAGTTCATTTGCTAATCAAGTACCAATACTACTAAAGAATTGACGGACTAAACTTTATTAATTATGTTATCATTTCTTAAATCTCTCGTGACTGTCGAAATAATTAAGACAACCTTTTCGAAGAAGTCATTATTGCAATTCTTCACTTTTCAAAGTAGGCAAATAAAACAGGTCGGTACATGTACATGGTGACCGTCAAAATATTGGGTGTCAATGTCACATATACATAGGTTAAAGCTCGACTGTGAAGTAATTTGGGAAGGAGTTCTTTAGGGCCCCCGTCCCGAGCCTAAACCCTGACATTAACATTCTAGCCCCCAAAGTAATAGTATATGCCCCTTCAGATAACTATACATGACCATGAAAGGGGCGTGTACACTTAAAATGGTAGAGGGGCACTGAAGGGGCAGGGTTAGTATTAGAGTTATGGGTGAAGAAACTGTGACCGTAATTTGGCTGTGTTCGATAATGAATTCTAAATAACGGCAACTATCCAATTTGATAACCAGGTCGTTCACAGTTCCTCTATAGAGGGACTGTGAGTCGTCATAGTGCTTTGAGTTCTTGGCACCATCTTGCCGGTTGGTCAGAACGCGGTCACGTGGTGGTGAATAAAAGTCAGTTTTGACTCGCGGTCATAATAAAATTCCTCGATTCTTTATTGAGCCTGAGCAGTTTTAGTATTCACAAAAACGTAAAATAAATAAATAAATGTTCATTTCAGGTAATTTTAACATATGTTGTGCTTATGTAATCAGTATAATAAAACTTGTAGTTACCTTAATGTCGGTCAATACTCAATTTTATTGGCTCTCGGGAAATGTTGACCTCGACTGCGCCTCGACTCCCTTTCAGGTCATTACGACTGAATATTAATCTCCTCTTCGGTTATTATTGTATAATATATATAGGGAATTCGAAGCGCACGCGCACTAAAGTTTTCATTGTTTGCTGCATTTTAAGATAAAATCAAAGCACATTGTTTTTTATCCAAACTGCCTCATTAAAAAGGTGTCTGTTTGAAAATTTCTACTGCCCCACTGTTGTATTTTCGGACGGACATCCGGGTATTCTCACCACCTGGCAACCATTACCGGTGAAAACAAAAGCCAACAACTCCCAGGATGCAATACTTTGTGCTAGTTTTGATGAGACTTTCCTAAACAGTGTAACAAGACTACCTCTACCATAACATGTTCAACATATCTAAATATGGTTGATGAAGATTACCTCAAAGTTGAGTTTGTGCTGTTTTTCGACTTTAGTTGTTTTCATCGGTTCCTCGACCGGAGTTCCGGGGGTGTACTCCCATAGTTAAGGTATGCGTCGCTGTTTTAATCCCCCTTTTTTCGAGCTTTGTCGATCTTCAATTTTAAGATTTTTTGGCGAAAGACGTCAATTTTGAGTCCAAAAGTGCCCACATCGAGTCAGCGGTCTGTTTAGTCCAGTTTTCAGCTGGCTGCGTTCACTGGTTCCCGGTTTCCCTGCATTCTGAATGACACTTGAGGCGAGACCAGACAACTGGCTGCGGATCACCAAATATCAAAGTGAGCAGCCCCGGGTTCCACAGCAGCACGCGCAGAGCCTATTGAATACATTGCACAGTGGTGCGTGTCCAAGCATAACGTTATCTGACTCCGCCCTGAGAATTGATGATTTCCGAGTTACTTCTGCAGAAAGTTTATTCCATTTTCATCGTAATTGGGCGCACACGGCGGGGTCACTATACTTCTGGTTTATCAGTACGCACGGGATATCTTTGGCAAACCTGTATCATTCTCCACCCAAATATTGTTTCGAGTAGTAATTCACAATAAATTACATTTTAATTTTCAAATTTGGTTATTGCTGTATTTATACCTATCAAACCAGTTATAAAGTGAAAGTCACACAAACACATTCCGACATCACAGTGCTGGTAAACTCTTGTATATCTTTTCGAAATAGGCATTATACTGTGTTATAGTGACACAACTCATATATATTCTTATACAAACCCAGTGAACAATATATAGTCAATATGTATCAATTTTCATTTAATGTAAAGGCTGTTATTTTGCTACATTTCTACAAATCAAATATGTAAACTCGGCGACTCTGTCATCCTCGAAAAATCTAACATTTAAGAGCAGCAAAATTTGTCATTTTAACTCTCACAAGAATATAAATGCCCATTCACAATATCCTGCTTCTGTACTAGATGGGAAGTCATTTCATACTGGTACCATATTTTGCAAAATGCGATAGTGAGTCCTGGCACCGTAAACACTAATGTTAGAAAATGTGTGAAATTAACTAGTTTTAAACAATGGCGTTGCAACTCAATTAATTCTCATAAATCCGCCGTTTTTTTTATTCCACTGTACGCGAGGTACGAACTGTTCGGAGTCGAGTGAATAACGTGTTTTGCAGCTCCCTCAACGGCAGAACGGTTCGTTTGAGAGTACTCGGAAAAGTTAAATTGTACGCACAAACCCGATGAAAGCTGGGGAATAATGGATTACAAATCTCAAACGTGTACTCGCGACAGTATTAGTTAATGACAAACCTCAACCATTGTAAGTTTATAAGATTTAAAAAATTATATTTTCAGTTTACTTACCGCCATACGATGTACAGTTAACTAGGTTACCATAGCAACTACATAAGAGAACAAATACAATGGATATTTTCCTCATTTCGTTTGGTGGTGGCAGCTGCAATGGAAGATGTACAAGTGAGCAAACACGACTCGCATTCGCCATTCTCAAAAACACATAAACTGACTTGATCTTGTTTATAATAGTTTGTACAATCTTGTATACACTTGTTGCTGGGTGTATGTATATACATATATTGTTTGAAACTGTAATGTTAAAGAACAAATTGAATTATGACTTATCGTTATCTTTTGTAGAACTTGTATGTATATTCTTTCGAGAAAAAAACACGCTAATACGTATCTGGTTTTTGCACATTCAAACACAATACGTGCATATACGTATTACAGCATGCCATTGATACATCGAATGAATACTTAGTACGCGGCAAAAACAATGCATTCAGTTCACGATACATCACAATTCTATGTGCCCAGTACCAAAGAGTAGTGTGGAAAATTATGTGTTCTCATATTATGTGGAAATTGACTTCTGAATCAAATAACGTATTACTGTAATGTCAACGTGTTACAGTAATGCCAACGTATTACTGTAATGACAACGTGTTACTGTAATGCCAACGTATTACTGTAATGTCAACGTGTTACTGTAATGCCAACGTGTTACTGTAATGTCAACGTGTTACTGTAATGCCAACGTATTATTGTAATGTCAACGTGTTACTGTAATGTCAACGTGTTACTGTAATGTCAACGTGTTACTGTAATACTCTTGAAATAGCTACATGTCATTTTAGCTATTTTGATTTCATGTCTGAATTAGTGGAAACTTACTTGACTAAATTGCCAACAATCACATTGTGAGAATACGCGTTTTATGTTGTTGAATTGGGTCATCTAAGGACTGCTAACATAGTGGCTAAACACTTTACATCACGTTTATAGAAAGATGGTATCAATGGTTATGAGATATGGGAATTATCGATAATAAAACCTTGTTTGTGACGGTCTTAGCAATTTAGAAGCGCGGCGTCCGTCTGGGAACAGACCATAAAGTATATATAAGCATCAGTCCTGGGCATCGGTTTAATATAAAACTTTGTCCTTCGTAAATTGTTGACATTTATGACATTTTATTATTTGAGTTGGTGCACATTTGGGTCAACTCTCGGGGCACGCTGAACATGGTTGTTTCTGTATTTTATTAGAAACATGTAAAAATAATAATGTGTTTATGCGACATATTCGAAACACAGTGACGTCACACCACATACCTACCACGGGTTATCGAGCAGAGAGCCGAGAGAGATTAAACAACTAACCTAGTTTACTAATGGAGCATCGATGTACCGATGTTGAATAGTTCATCTATGATGGGCGAGGCTATGTGACGTCACGTGCTTAAGCGTTTCTACTGATATAGATTTATTATTCGTTAGCGGCGCATTACAGTACGACTCTGGCACATCATGATTTTCAGCGACGTATATTAGTTATTTGCTTGTAGAGTTCAATTTGAAAAAAAAAATGGACGAAAATGATTGAAAAACGCGAATCATATGACCTTTATACTAGTGCAATATATCTTATTTATCGTAATACCGAGATAGTGGGAAGATAACGATATTTATTATTAATAACTAATCGCATTTCAGGCCGGGCCACCATTGTTCACAATATTTTTGACTGATCCAGAATTTCAATATTATTACAAATATAGTTTAACTGTGTTTTGTTGACACAACAAAGCGTACGGGAATCTATCGAGTGTACACATCTTGGATAATGTGGTGTCGTGTATCTATGATCGCTATACTAAAGCCATTGATGTTACTGTGTTTATTACGTTACTCGGATTACAACTATGACTTCTAAACACCCTGTGAACACGTATAACTTGAAATACTCATTAAAGTAATATGTCGAAAAACGTCAGTAAACTTACCTAATGTTTGTGAACTTTGTATTATAGACCTGCTAAGTCGTCGATGCTTTTCTTCTTTGTCAATAAATTCAGGAAATGAACTTTGAACCCTCAAATATGGGGTGTGCTTCAAGTTGTCGGTAACAAATTGAAAGAGTAATTTGAAAATAACAAACAACTCATAAATATTGTTTTAAATTTGTTTACGCTGGGAAGTATTGAAATATGGCGTGCATTGGTTCTAGCTGGAAGAGCAGTGACGTATAAATAAAGAAATCATTTTGTTGGGCCCTGGGGTCAAATGTCACTCGTAGACAAGTTGATGATTGTTTAACACTAGGTAGAACCATACTGACTCATGTACGCTCGCGCCAAGAGGTGCGCGGCTGAACATCTGGATATTGATATTTTATTGAGAGGTGAGAGCAACCCACATTAAGTAATACCACGTAGTAGCCATTGTTATTTTGTTTTATCCCGCCATCTTGGCTTACTTTTATCATTACCCGTATTATCGACACGAGAAAATATAAAGGGACACATATTTATTCACTGCAGCCGACCTGAAGCATCTATGCCAGAACAAAATTATCCAAACTCATATAACTTTAAAACAAATTTAAAACTGATTGTGAATGTTCAACTATATGCAATAATATTATATACTAATATATTATCGCAACGACAATGACTTAGGAAAGTAGATGATCGCAAATGTTAAATACAAAGAATTAACAGAGAGAGAGAGACAGAGAAAATACATAACTACAAATACAACAGTTTTAAAATTAATAAAATGAAAACAAAATATTTATCTTTCCAGGTGGCGCTTTTTGTGAAAATGTACTTTCTTTCGTGTTCCAGCATAATGTAACTATCTGGTTTTTCATGTAGAAACTTTCAATGCCGACGAGGCTCACAACATCATCAAAGGATAACCATCTCTACGCTCATATCAAACACATTTTTCGCAAGATTGTTACTCCTATTAATAATTTTATTGCAATATGGGATTGACCAAGACTTTATTAAATCTGCCACTGCGGCGCCATCACTAAAACCATCTTTAAATTCAAATCTACCAAATTCACTGAACTAGTCCCAAATAAAACTGATGTTTCTCTCCTGATGTTTTACACATAACGTGTTACACAACCATTCTCAAAACATAGAGTTGGCCATGTCCAATGACGACAATGAGTATTAATAGTGTTTTAAAGCGCAACCTTCTCGGGGACATTTACTGATTCAAAATCTTGGACAGCATCATTGCCAATTCCGCCTGTAGCGCCCTCAACGGATGGTGTGTCAAGGTTGTCGGAATCGTGCTGTTGTATTTCTTCAAGCAATGCATTTTCATCAGTTTCAGATCCGGGTCCATCTGCCTTCTCATGGTTGAGTTCTTCCAAGAAAGGATCGATTAGACTCACTAGGAACAAAGAAATATAAAACATTATTACAGGGGTTTAGTTTTTTTCTTAATTGAATGATTTCCGTGTGAAAAAGTAAATTTAAAAATAATTGAACAAAATAAGAAACATTTTGAAAAAAATATCATCAAATTGCTAATGTTTAGTACGCAACTAAATCACTGTAATGTTGACAATTCCCGTATAAATATCCTCTTGTTTGATGTGTGTTATGGGTTTCTAAAAGGCTCGCATACTCGTAAATTCGACGCTGGGAATTATTTAATATATTGCGATCAACTATTATATTATACTATTTTTCATTCAAAACCAGGGGCTTGGTTCATGTGATGTTATCAGGTACCAAAGCTAGAATAACGGCGAATTAGTTTTGCGTATAGACCATGTAAACACTGGACGTGCAAACAATCGCTGTGCTACTTTGTGAAACTGATGTTTGTTCCATACAATTATCATCTTTCAAAGAGTGCTTCCGATTGTTTTCCACCTTAAAATGTTTAAAAATAACGCCGAGTCCAATCAGAGGTATACATGTGACCAAAATACCTACCCCCAAAGTGACGTCTGAGTTGAACTTCTCTCTTAGTTATAATATGTATAGCCATACCCAACATTGCTACGATAACGACGCCTACAGCGGCGAATACCACGGTGGATATATAGAGGGCGGCTCGCTGGTACTTGAGATCTATTATTTCGTCTTCTTGTTCTTGACAATCGCTAGACTGGATAGTTACCACTGTATAACAAATATATGAATATTCGAAAATCTTGTTTTAAATAAAATATATCTATATCATCCTACCTACAAACATACATAGCCGACAACCACCCACCCACCATTCCGTTCAACCCATCCACACACTCGAAAACACGTGACCAAAACAGACTTATTCGCTAAATACATCATGCAACACATACCTGGTATTCTTGCCAGATCCCAGTGTTCATTGTTGTCGGTGTCAGCTGTAAGTTTTGCCGGATATTGTGGAGAGTTTAACACCGTACATGTGTACGTGTCAGCCTCGTAGTCGAACGAATGACACAGAAATCTTTTTTGGTTTAAGCATAGTTCAGCACAATCTTCTCGTGTTGTTGGTGATGTTATACTCACTATCTCTGATGGATCTTCGATTCTGGAATTGGGCGTAGATTTAAAAGCCGGCAACGCTCTACCTATAATATATTGTGAAAAACAGATGCGCTGCTGAAAATTACAAATCAAATGTGGGAGAAATGTTTCTATGGCGACTGTCATCATATTGAGGTCAATTTTGGGTATATATAAATTAAAAGTTTTAGTTTTTTACAGTTCGACAAAGAAGTCAAAACAGTTGTGGGAGATACTACATAATACTGACTGAATGATTCCGCTTACATCGCTTAATCAGAACTAAACAATTCAATATTGGTTGCAATAATCTGAATATCTAGACTTGATATCGTGGCAAGATGTTTTAATGGCCTTCGCGTATTTCGTTTTTGAAAAACAGGTTATAAAAATATTATAAGCTCCGAGTTAAACGTCTACTAAAGAAATAGACCGCAATTGGACAGTTGGGTAAATACTAAATTGACAAAACCTCGACAGAATATACAAAAAAACTCAAAACATTGAATGAGTATGTGAAGTGCCAAAAGAATGGCATGGAATGAGACAATCAAACTATATGTAAGCCCGTTTTATACTTTCGCTGATAGAATAATTTTGAATATATATTTAAGTCACATTGCTTAAAACCGTTTTTTTTATTGGTACTTGTGGTGTAGTTAGGCAAGCGTCTGCTTACAGTGCCAGTGAGTTTTGCCGTGGTCGTGAGTTCAATCCATGCTGCGTGTTTATAAGTTACTAATTTACCTGTAATTCATTTATGTCTACCACTCCATTATTGTAAGACACAAACTTCCACAATGGGCCACGATTCATGTTCTACTTAAAAAAACAATATTATGTACAGGTTTCTCACAGCTCACTCTGTATATCTTAATATGGAACTCAGAGATTGAATGTTCCTTTATTGTGTATGCCTGGCTGATCGGATACAGAAATGGACATCAAACCATAATGCTGTTCGTAAGCTCAGTGAAATCATACAGATAATTCTAAGATTTCGCTCTATGGTGTCAACAAATACAACAAAGCACAACATATGTTATCAGTGCAAACTTATTACTCAGAATGTACTTCAAACTCTGACTACTGAACACACTGGTAAGCAATATATTTAGTTTTTTAAATATTTTTATTTTTTGGGGGCCAGTAAAGAATGAAGATCATTCACTCTTAAAATTACACTCTTAGTCACATTATCAATTCTATAAATGAAATTGTGTTCTTAGTAACATTTAGATGATAGTTATGTTACTGCCTACACTATCACATCATCAATTACGTAATGTGAAGTCTTTTGAAACAAACTTGATTCCTAGTAACAACGATTACAAAAAATATGCAAATGAACGAATTGACATCAACTATTATAACGACACTCAAAAATAAAATTGAGAGTAAATAAACTTTATAATAACTGCTAACACTAATAAATCACACAGTTAATGGTTTGAAACTAACTTTAGCTAACATTAAATTCAATGCACTTACCACTATAAGATACGGAGTTTACTAGGTTGCAATTGCAAATAAATATGTAAACAGATACAGATACAAAGGTTATCTTCATCATTGTGCTTTGTAATGATATCTGCAATTGAATGTAAACATTTTATATCAAAACACGAAACAGAATCGTTCTCATTAGTGTTTATAATATTGTGCTTTCTAGTCTAAAACATGATTGCAAAAATAATGGGCGTTTATAATGAATTTTTACACTGAAAAGCTAGTAATGCAATGTACACGCATCGACAAATGTCATTAACTCGTCGATTATATAGATATAATATCGAATACGTGACGTACGATCGGATTTGACTCAACTATCGTGGAATAAATATGGGTTCTGTGAAATACTTTATTTTACATTGAACTAATTTTCATTGAAACGACATTTTGGCTGTTTTGTTTGAAGTTTATTTTCACTGATTGTGGTGAGTTGAAAGTAAAATATAGAATCACTAATTCATCCCTTCAGCGAAAATAGTGAAAATACGGTATTTTATTGTATTTCGTGTTACATCACAAGGCCCCAATGCGAGATGTTCCACACGTAATACTAATGTGTAATATCGAGTTTTGTCTCTACAATGACTGCTTTATCTGATTAACGACGTTCGAAATGACGTAGGTGGAAGAACCAAATATTTGTTAATTCATACTTAGCTTGACGATGTCGCGTGATTTGCGCCCTTCGCGGTGCTCCAAACCCAACACACGCAATTTGTGAGGTCTGATGCCGTTCGGCCGGCCAGGGCCTACTCAGGCCTACATGTCAGGCTAATTTCATACTGTATGTCTGAGTAATTTGAGATCAACACAACCATGAATGTAGGAAGACAATCCGAAAGTATACATAAAACACAACAACTAAAAATATCAATGAAATAACAATTCACAAAGAAATACTCTCGTGTATAAAACACACCCTAGCTTCAAAACTTTATGTATTTAAATAAATTCTTCTTAAATAATTTGGATTATAATTTAACACGAACTAAAAGCGTTGTTCTTTTAGCACACTAAATGTTCGTTCGATGAAACAATAATTACATTTTTTAATACGTATGTGCACGGATTGTTTTTATTTTATATTGCATCTTGATGGCGTGAAACGACCACCTTGGTTCCGCTATCTTAATATGTAAATACATGTATAGAAATTCCATACAATGGAGCATATTGTTCGTATTGCTGGTCGTCGTATGAGAACGGTGTCTGACAAGAACATATATCACATTATATCGGTTTATGAGACCTTTGCCCTGTATTTTGATGTTTTTATGACATTTTATATTTTGACAAAAGTACTTTGTTTGGATATGGACCTTGAACATTACTCTTCTTTAAGATTGTCACGAGTTTATTTGAATCATAAAACATCCGATATGAAACGTGATTGGCTTGCTGCGAAACCACGCACCTTGCGGATTTATGGGCGGGTATCCAATAAAAACGTTGATAAGACTATTTACCTACGCGATAACAGACACAATAACGCACCTATAATTGGGCGTTTCCGCTCATGTCGACTTATTTGTTGAAATCATCATGGGTTGTTCCGAGCACAACTTATTACGATGTTCACCGAATTATCATTTTTATCACTAGTATATAGCGTTAAATGTGCAAACCTGTGATGCAAAAGAAAGTTTTTCAAAACGTCGATGTACCGCTCAACACAAACTCTGAGATAGCGGGAAGAGATAACGCTATTAATGATTAATTGACGGTCATGTTGTCCAGCCATTTTTATTCGCAGTGGAAAATGCCGGTTTAAATTTATGATTCTTATATACAATTATGTTATAATTCCGTGTTGTTGAAACCATATATGCACTATAAAACGAGTATCACCCACTTGGTGCTTTCTGTGTTGAGGAAATCCTATATACGCCGGGAAATGGGAATCCATCCCCGGTACCACTTGGTGCCTTACTTCTGTGTTGGTGTAATCGCATATACGCTGTAAAACGCGCATCCACCATTAGTACCACTTGGTGCCTTACGCTTCTATACCCTATACCCTGGTGCCAGTATGAACACTTTTCTCATTAAATTATTCAGATCTCGTCTATTAATTGATTTGTAAATACACTTATACAGAAAAACAGGATTCTCAAGATTCAAACAAGTGTGAGAAAAGTAGTGAACTTACTTAAACGGTGGACGTGAACTTTGTTGTATATTAGGAGTCTTCGTACAGTTTTTCTTCAACTTCTTCTTAAGCACGAAATTATGCACTGTCAGATCTTTGACCGTATCTATATGTTACACTGAGAGTATGGATCTGATGAGGTTTTATAAACTCGAACTATCCACTGCTTACCAGTGAAGCTTGCCAGATAAACAGACGACGCGTGTTCTTCCAGTCAATTGATTATTTACAAACGTAGGATAAATAAATTATAAAAAATGACTGTGTTGTCAAGTAAATAAGTGAGCCTTGGGTCATATTTTGTATAAATAATATTTGTTTTATACGATACTGACTCATTTCTCAAGCTGAATACACACACTTGGTTAAAAACAATATGAGTTTTGTAGAGAAATGTAAAAGTCAAAATTAGGCTGAACTTTGTAAAGTATAGACAGGTCCAAAATGCCTATGGATAGAGTTAGAAAATTTTATCCCAGATCAGTTTACTGATTTAAGAAAACTTCGTATATCATTTACAGTCAATTAAAATATTATTTCAGATAACTTTAAGTATTTTGATCTTCTGTACATATTTTCTTCTTTATTTCATCTTGATGAAACATTATAGTATAATTATCTATAAAATAAAACCCCTCTTTTGGCACCATACATTATTCGTTCGTTGAAATACTGGAACACTCTAATGAGCATGTGTCTTGGATTTACCTATAAGTAGCTCGCAAATGTACAGGTTGTAAACAAACTCTTGTTTCCAGTAGTTCATAGAAAGAATACTTCTCTGTACAGCCAAAATGCAATATCAAACACAAATTGAGAAACATGATTTCCGAAATACCTATTATTTCAGGCAAATAGAAATTCTAGCTATCGCAAAAGGGATGACTCAGTGGAAATAAAATCCATCAAATATACCCTTTTCCCATATTTTGTATTCAACCCTCAAAAATCAGTGAAATAAATTCCATACAACACACCCAAAAAACTTTTTCAGCAAAAATTAATTGTAAATTATTGTTTACTAAAAATAACAGCATATCGAACTTTCCGATATAAAATTATAAATATCTGCCTCGAATGCCTCATTTATTTGTGACAAATTCCCCCTTTTTATCAACAATCTGACACTGCGGGCGTACTCTGGACAAGTAACAACGAACAAACAAACTGTGAAAGGCTACACTTGTTTTATTATAAATTATGTATTATACTGGTTACGAATAACAAATATGGCTGATACAAACTTACAAAAAACAACTTTCCAAATATTACTATAAAATCACAATCAAGGAAAACGCCCATATGCAACTGAAATATAGCTTCCTCGCCGTGAAGGACATTGACTTGTTTCTGCTCGAATTTATAAAAATCCGTTTAAGATTAAGAGAATTCGATGTGTGCCGTGGAAGCTACCTATTAACTTATTAAAAGTTTTGAATTCAATTTGTTAAAATGCCCTGTTTGGGATCATCTTCCTGAATAATCACAAGATTTTGATGAAATTAATTATATCACCTCTATAGAAACCCCGAGTTGTATTCTGGCGAACTATAAGTTTCAATATCTTCCTCCCCCTTCAATCCCCCCTCTTTCCCAGGCATCACACTAATATAATCTATATAAGTAGCCATGTGCCCAGCATTGTGACGTATACGTTGCATGGGACACACAACGAACACAACACGGTGTGTCGACTGAGGCGCAATAAATGTCAGAAATGTCTCAAAGATCTGAATCAACCACACTTACACTGGCAACTTGAACATTAGAAAGGGCTACCCTGCCCGGGGGTAGGAATGAAAACCACTAAAGTCACACAAAAAATACAACTCTTTTGTTTCTGATATCATAATTAATAATATTCGTTTCATAATTGTAGTGTGAAACCTAGAGATCAGGGAAGTACGGTTTTGGAGTTTTGCTGAAGCGCCCCCAACGTGCTTTTATAGCGCTCGTGGAAACAACCATTTCCTTGCTGCTAATCTATCGATTTTCTAGTTTATGTTTAACTACTAGCAAACACTTCACAGTCTGTAACTTGAAAAATACCTAAAATTTAAATTATAGATTGCGTATCTGACATTAAATAAAACTGATTATGTGAGGTACTGTTTAAAAAGAACGTCACAAATAACGTACCACCCTTTGGTTGAAATGGTTTCGTCAGGGTTGTTCCAAGATGGCGTCCTACGAGTGGTGAGTGACACACCTCCTGGATTTGTCTTTGTTTCTTTTGAAATGCTATTATATAAGACTCGTTTAATGCTCATATTTTAACCATGTTATTACTATTCCATGTATGTAGTAAGTACCTGATCGGCCATCGTAAACTTAAATGAAAATGACCAAGTGCTGCCACTGTGAATGTAGTCGGTGACATGACTTGGAAATCGTGGAATTCGATACCGTACCCCTAACAAGTTGCCCCACTCTGGGACACGGTTAGAATTATTATGATTACATAAATATTGTATTATTGTAGACATAATTAGCTCGGATCTTCTGTGCTATGAAATTCAGTTTTTAGCAAAACTATTGTGATAGTAACAACGGTATATCATCAACAATCGAATTTTATTTACTTTTTAAAATTCTACTTACTAACTTGTTATATTTTATTTTTGTGTATTGATTAATTTTACTATTGCTATGTACTGAAAAATGTGTATTTCTAAAGATGCAATAAACAATTATTATTGTATTATCGAATTCATGTTTCTAACCTCGCTACAATTGTGTACTCCCGGTAGTGTGACGTGAAGATAGTAGGCGTATGATAACATTATGAATACACCAGTGTCTGTCCATCATAGTCCATGGATACACCAACACATCTTTGATTGTGTGAATCATTTAATTTACAAACTATTACTATGACAATATGATAATATTAAGATAATTGTATTTTCTTGTAGGCATGCCTGTGCTCGTAAATATGAACAGGAGAAGAGGGAGATACCAAAAGAATATGTTTTGGATCATCCATTGAAGTCAAAGATGGTATTAAAGTAGTACTGAGTAAAATGTTGCTATTCATTTAACAAGGAAACTTCACTTCAAGTAATGAGTAGAGAGTAAATGTGTGACAGCCAATAAAACATTTAAATAAATCATAATAAAAGATTATAACCACATGTTACAAATATCATTACTTGTTTTGTTTGCAGATTGTTGTCACTGAAAGTAAAATTAAGAAAACTGGAAAGCAGGGAAGTGTATCGGATACGATAGCGATGGATCCTTTATCATCGGCTCTTGAGGGATGTGATCCATTGTCTGAAATGGCAGCTTCAGTACATCAAGATCCCTTGTCACAGGCTGCTGCTGAATTAGCCATGTCTAAAGTAATTAATCATTTATCACACATTCATTGCTTGGAAAAAGTTGTGCGAGACTTCTTGTTTATAGAGCACCACACTGGTCTTTAAGCCCTGTTGTATATGGTATCGGTAAAAGTGAATGAATGAGTGAATAATAAAAAAACAAATAAACATTACTAAACATATCAGGATTGGGTGAATTGGCACAACATGAGAATATTTGGCATCGTAACTTCATTATAACAGCAATACAAATATTCATTCCGATGTGTTTTTTCACTTTTATTTAAGACACAAACTGATTCTAAGCCTAAGAAATCTGTTGGTGTTCTTGGTGATGACTTTGAACCATGGTCTGCCAAGAAAGCTGGTATTCTTAGTCAATATACTACGTCAGAAAAGCTCTCTATTACAACGGTAGGAATTATTATGATTTATATTTAAAAACATGACTTGTTCAAAATGCTATGCTTGACATCAAAACATTTTACTCATCTGATTTAAATAATTTCATTTATGACTTCTCTCTTTCAATTAATGCTCTGTTTGCATTTATAGAGTTTTCTGTCGGCTGCTGACAAGGAGAAAGGTAAGTGACCTTTGTCTTTGTTGTTCACCTTTAACCTGCTGCCCCTTTCTACGCTACTGGTGTCTAATCTGCAGGTAGTTTAATATTCCAATACACATATACCGGTAATCAGTATTTGAACTGATCAGTATTTACTGTAATTGTATCTGTAACAGTTTTACATATCACAAAAACACCAGTATCACTAGCAAACTCACCATGTTACTTTGCTTTTACCTTTTTGTCAGAATTAGAAATTATGATATAATGTCATTTGTAATTGATGCTATCACCTCTGGCGACTGTGATGTTTTTCTTAGTGACTATCATTCAGTACATTGCTATGAGCATTGTTGCTGGATGCAGCGAGAGCGCTAAATACTACTGATAAATATGACCAATCAGAGATCGGTAACAGAAATAGGCTGCCTATCAGTTTCAGGGCACCAACTTTATTACTGTTTGATTGTGTTCTTGTTTTGGAGTTTTCACAAACTCAATAGTGTAGTTTTTTGTATTGTTCCAAACTTTAGTCAGTTGACAATAAACTTTGTTTGACGAGTTACGTACTACGAGACATTGCGTTATCCATAAGTCTACAAATTGAACCTGCTCGGCGACGCCTGAAAAAATACAGCTCAGTCGTCAAGCCACAAGTGTGTTGTCATGATTACTAAATATTTCTAAAAATAGAACTGACACCACCATAGGACGTTGTTCAGTGTGTAAAACAGATTCAATTTGAGCAGGTGACATAACAATGTTCAGCTCCAACTGTGTTATGTATCACGACTTTTCAGTCATTTGTTATGAATTCTAATTTAATTTAATTGACTACTTGTACAATGACAATGTAAAGTTATTACAATGCCACAACTGTTGCTGCTATTCTAATTTTTGCTCGTTTTGCTTTTTTTTAACTCATTGTTCCAAATCAAATGACCTCATGCATATTATGAGGTGATGATATAACTCAAACCAATGCTATTCATTAGTTTGTGACTTCATATGTAGTTATGATGCATCCCAGCACAACTACAATCATCTCCACAATAGTCATATTTCATGCAAATTTTAGGTTGTATAATTTGTACAGGGTGTCTTAAGATGGTAAATACAGATACCTAGAATTTATTCACTTTGCAATAAATTGTACTCCTGGGCAATACAAGGATATTAACCTAAAAATGATGGTTGTATTAATAATAGATAATGGCCATTTTGGTGGTATTATAACGCTTTTACTTTAGGTTTGTATGGCAGAGATGCCATATCTCAAATTGTAGGCTTGTGATATAGGATGAAAAAGTCCTATATTATGAATAATGGAGTACCTTTTGTTTTTCTGAATTATTTCAATAATAATAATGGATTTTAGCAAGTGTCAGAAAATGCAATTTTGCAACATTGTATTCTATGAAATTATTCTAAAAATAGCGATTTTTGAAAAATATTAGGACAAGTTTCTCAAAATATGTCACTGTAAAAGAATGCCATGGAACAATAGCTTCATGCACATAATAAACCACTGAACATTGTGGTGCGATTTTTTATGACCAACTTTCTCAAAAATTATGAGTAGGGATCTCTATCTTAAGATAGAGTTTATAACAATTATATGGTGCTCATCAAAACAAATCTTGTCTTTTGATAATGCCTGAAGTGTGAAAAATATTTCACAAAAAACAAACATTTTTTTTTAGCTTCCCTCAGGAAAATTTAACCTGAGTGAATTGTTTATGTATAATCAATCTTAACAGGACAGCAAATTGCTCGCTTTCAATCGCTCTTAAAAGGAAAGGTCTGTAAAAAGTTACATTTATATCCGATATTTTTATCTGTTAAAAACATATTTAATATATGAATTTACTTGACAGTTGTAGTGAAAACACAAGTAGCACAGAGTACAATGTCTGATAAAGTGAAGCATAGACTGGAACAGTTGGATGACTTTGAAGAGGTTTGTTCTAAAATTATTTAAAATTCTCTCTAAAGAAAACTTTACATTAGATTAATGTTGTTAATGGTAATGACCTGAGGTAAATCTTACGACAGTGTTGATGTTTTACTGAATCATTTTATTTTGTATTTGTGGTATCTGCTGAAGTTCAATAAAACATAATCTTATTTTAGTGCTTCACATTACAGAACCCTATTTCATTCAGTATACTCTATGAGGGCGCTACTTCTTAAGTTTTACTGCTGTTTTACTGTTTTTAGGGTTCAGTAAAAGAAATGTTAAACTTGAGTCAACAAGAATATGTACACAGAATTGATGAATTAAACCAAGCATTGGTGTTGGCATGGGAACAAGATCAAAGAGTCAAGACATTGAAAATTGCCATACAGGTAAATTAAGTGTATTTTTATGCTTCCAGAAATGTTCAGTTATTCTTGGTTTGTGAAAGCATGTAGGTTCATCTTTCATGAATTTAATAATAGTTGCTATTTCCTTTTATTTTTTCACCAAAGATTTAATTTTAAAGTAACTTTTCATTAACTTCTGGATTTGTTGGATTTTAGTAGTTACTTTGTATCAATTGGTCCACTTAAGGTAGAGATGCAGTTTATTTGGCTTGCTTTTTAATTAAGTAATTAGACAATGAAGATGGTATTATATATCCAGCATGTTATATATTTTCTGAAAGCTTATTATACAAACTTTGTAAAACTTTATTTTAAATATCCAGAATGCGTTTTTGATTTTGGGTCAAAAATATGCTTTTTTGGACAAAAGTGGTTTAAAAAAAATTAGCTCAAAAACTTCAAGTCCGTTTGTGGGTAAAGTTACATCACTGGATACCTTGGTATACTACTAATTCAAATGCGTCCACTCATCTCTCTAACGGCTTTCAAAGTCGCACAGCATGACCTCAAAGTTCACTCTTTTCTATTTTTGCATAAATTATATATCCATGTTACCGGTAATTGTGGACTTG